AACACGGGAGAGAGTACGTGCCATTGCAATGCTGCCTTGCAGACAGGCAAAGGTGATGTTTGCATCACAGGAGTGAAAACACAGCAATAAAACACACCACAGTTCTCAAATACATAAAGGACCTTCCTTATGTCACTACATAAAGCCATAGAAGACCAGTGAAGAGGCGCAGATCTTTGCAGACACCAGGACTTCCACCAGGAACCCATTTAAACCGACATTAGATTGCACTCAGTGCAGGGCTCATCTCTATGCATAGATCTGGCTCCGCTCCCGAACACAGACAAAGCCCAGGACAGCGCCCAGAGTGAGCAGAGCCAGGGCAGCCTGCTGAAAGCATGGGGCAGAGCTGCCAAGGCACAAACACAAAGGCTCCCTGAACTCAGCCACCAGCCAGCACGGGCAAACACACCGAGCTGGAGAGCAGAGGCAAAACCCGTCACCCTTTGCCACGACCACGGGCTGCAGGACGCGCGTCCCCCAGGCTGGCTGGGCACCAGCACTGCCAGCACCCACCACCTGGAGCCATCTCAGTCTCTCCCACCGGGTCACATCCCACCACAACGCAGCGACAGCACCCGGAGGCAGAAATCACAGCACCAACACGCACCCGCCCGCCCTTCCCCAGAGCGCACCGCCCGCACCGACACCTCGCATGCCCGGCTCATACCTGCCCACCACGTCCACAGTCAGGAGCTTTCCTGGGTCCCTCCCGCAGCCCCTTTAAAGCCTCCCCAACCCCCTCCCGGCTCAGCTGGGCAGACCCAGCCCAGGTGCAGAAAGTTTTGGGGAAGGGCTCCTCTGCCCCAGCCCAGGTGGAGGAAGTTTTGGGGAAGGGCCCCTCTGCCCCAGCTCGAGTGCAGTAGGTTTTGGGAAGAGCCCCTTCCTGTAGGAGAGCCCTTATTTGTCAAACCTTGTGGGGTTTTGAGTGAAGGGTCAATGTGTGCAATGGGTAGGAGATGAATTTCAAACATGAAAGGAAGGTCACCTTTGTCTTGTGGACAGCAAACCCCACTGTTCCCATGGGCTCTGGAAGCAGACAATGCTGGCAGGCCTAAAAAGGAGCTGGACAACTTTGTTCATAAACAGAGACTCCAGGGGGTGCTGGGGTGTATTCTCCAACATTGTTAATCCAGCAATCATGATTATTTGGGAGCACAAAGGAAGTGGTGCCAAGAGGGGACCGGTTTACAGGGGTCCACAAGTCACCTGTCCCATCACTGCTGTTTGCTGCTGCTGGGGGTGGTCACCTGGCATTTTTTCAGGTTGTGGTGAAATGGTGTAACACAGGCAGAGTGTGCAGCCTGCACAGCAGCTCCAGCACATACCAATGGCATGTGGACAACAGCACCCAACACATCACCAGCTTATTCATCTTCAGGTTTCTTCATCTTACTTCTAGGAAGGCAAGTTTCTCCTCGTGGACATGCCATTCCAACTTGTGCCAAGCAGCTTCTCCATGATATCCTCACAAAACAGCAAGCTGTTCCCTCACTCACACCCCACAGGCACCAGCACCACCTTGTCTGTGGCTCCTTTGCAGAAAAAAGCAGCCTCTCATAGCAGCCACCCATTGCCCACATGACCTGTGGGTCTGGGATAGGGACATGGGAGGTGCCACAGAGGGACATGAGAACCTGACCAACTGCCAAAAGGGTGATTTGGGAAAAGGCATAAAAGCAGGAGGGTTAGTCATAAAAACAAAGGAGATTGTAAGCTAGACATGGGAAGCAAAATGGCAGCTAAGGGAGCGAGATTTGAGAGCGGGATCCAGGGGAACTGAGGCAGAGCGAGGTGATGCAGACAGGCCCTGGGGGCTGCTCATGCCAAAACCAACACAAGAGCAGCAAGAAGGGCCTTCCTTACCAAGGGCTTGGTTAGTATTTCCCACAGCACATCTCCCTGCACAGGCAGTGAGTCAGCTGCTGTGCTCAACAGCTGTGCTCCCTATGGTCCAGCTTTTACATCTGCTCTGCTCTCCCAGCTTTACAATTAACCACGAGGGCAAGAAATGCTCAAAGGGCCCTCACAAGGTGCCTGGGCTGGGAGCTGTAAAGAAAGGAAAAAACCCAGAAGTGTTACTAAATAGGAAGAAAGAGCTATGCATTAAAAGGGTTTATTTGCATGAAATTCCTGGTGCTTTCCTACGTGAAGGCAAAAGACAGACTGAGCAAGCACCATGTGTGTCACATGCGTGTGTGTGTGTGTGTACACTAGTAGTGCGCACTACCAACAGCAGCTGAGGGGCTGATATGAAACAGGAAAAGCATCTATGAAGCAAAGCTTAGGAGCACAGTGAAAATGGCTTATGTACATATCTTTTGAGGCTGTTGGCCCAGGGGTGTGTGGATGTGGATCCCAGCCCAGCCAGAACCCCAGCAGTGCTCCACAGGGACACAGGTTGGGCCATCTGCTGCAGCTGAAACATGCACAGAAACTTCAAAAAGGCACCAGGGTTGGGGGGAGAGGACAGGGATTTAAAAAAAAAAATAATCTTTGCATTTTGCCACATGGAAGAAAACTATGGCTGCAAAGACAGATTTCAGAGAGCTTGGATTCTTGTTAACCCTTGGAACATCAATCAAAGCATTCACCTGAGATGAGTATTCCTGTTTTCTTGGGCAAAGGAAAGAGCTGAAGGTGGATTTTGAGCCGTCTGGTAAAATCTGTGCCCCTTGTTCCCCTGCCCTGCTGATCGGTGAAGGAGAGACGACAGGGACTGCATGCCCCCCAGCCATCCTGGGAACTTCTCTGGAGCATTGGAGTGGGGCACAGAGCAGGAGGTGCTCACACTGGGCAGCCCAACCAGGCTGAAACATGAATCCCCTTTGCTCAGCATTTCATAGCTCGGGCAGCTGCAGGCACACCCAGAAGCAAATTTTAGGAAATTTGAGAACTCAGGTGTTAGACAACTTCACAAGCACAGTGTTGATGGTATAGGAGGTGATAGGAGCTTTAGAGATGTCTGCTTTGCTTTTACACAACACGTGGAGCCTTCAGGTGGGATGGGAAGGCACAGTCCTGTGTTGGGACATGGGTCCTTATGTGATGCACAAGGAACAGAGAGCCCCAAATACTGTGACTAAGGCAGAGACCTTATTTGTGGAGCAAAGTGCTTAAGTTTAGACCTAGAAACACTTGCCAGCAAGTGACTCAGACTCATGGGTGCCTGTGGCACAGCATTCACTCTTGGAACAAAAGAGATGTGAAATACTCTGATCAGGCTCCTGACGAAGCAAAGACATCCCTGTGCTGGAGACCAGGAGTCAGGAGCTGCCTCCAGGTGCTTGTTGGCTGCATGGAAGAAGTGTCTTCTCCTCTCTCGAGTCAGTAGGTGACCTCCAGTGGTCCCTCCAGCCAGGCAGTCCAGTCTCTACTCTGCCAGAGCTGCTGCCAACACTGGGCCAGAGCAGTGGGAAGTGACAAACTCTGTAGTTACACTGAAGACAACCAGAATGAGGGGATATAAAGCTGCACACCAGGAGTCAGGGCTGTGGTCCCCATGAACAAAGCAGCAGGAATAGCGCCAGTAGTGTGAGGGGATAACTGGTTTTACTGGTGAAAATGCCCTGTTTCAAGGTTTCTTTTTGTAATATTAGCTAAGAAGTGGTTTGCAGCAAAAAAAAGGTGCAAGGGAGAATGGTGTATGGGCCACTGTCACCCACAAACACAGCACTGGTGTCTGAAATGCTGAGCCTAAAGAGCTCAGTCTCCCAAGATTACACCATCAGGGAGGCAACCATGAAAAGTACTAAATAATAAAGTACTATTGAGGGTTGCCCAGTAACTGAGAGTGCAATAGTCTAATGCTTTTTCTGTGAGCTTGTACTTGGGTAAATATTTAGGCTTTTAAAGCTTTAAATGACAGGAGACATTGCATAAGGACACTCGGTGCAAAGACCTGGACTATGTTTACTCACAGATGGTCTGTTATTTATAGGGTCCTGTAAAGGCCTTTCGGTTCGTGCATCCTTGTGCAGATTGCAGACAGGGGTGGTCTTTGGGTTCGGGGATGAGCCAGTCTCTCCTAGGACTGCATTCACAAAGACCAGCTTCCAAAAAGCCCTGGTCAACCACAGGCTTTGGTCAAGAGAGGAGAGGCAGCAATACCTCAAACAGGCCTGGGTTGCCCTATTTCATTGCAGCCAGATGGCTTTGGTCTTGCTTTGGATTTTTTTTGTAAGGCACAAACTAGATTCTTACTGAAATCAGGCTGGTAAGGCTTCAAACCGGGAGGGAAAAAAAAAAAAGGAAAAAAAAATTCCCAAAGGAAATACTGCCTAGCAATGAGAAACTCCCAGAGGCCGAGGTAAGAGCACTTACTGTGAATAAGTGGGTATTAGTGCCTTCTGTTGACAGAGGCAGCACTAAGTGGGCATCCTGTCTGGCTGCAGCAGCCTCTGATTGCCCAGCAAGCAGCAATCTAAAATAAATATTTCCATCTCCCAGGCAAGAAGATTGCCCCCTTGCCTCTCTCGCAGCGGCTCCGTCCCTGAGCAGGCAGCCTCTGTGCAGCCCAGCCTGCCCGGGGCTGCCCTGAAACGCCGCGCACCAACTGCAGCTCAGGCGCGGCTCAGGAGATGAGCCGAGCACCCCTCAGCGGTCTCTCTCGCGTCAGTGCTGCCAGTCGTCTTTAGAGCTGCGAGCGAGCACTGGGATAAAGTGGCCGGTTTTTGTCCCCAGGAGATTTAACAGGAGATGCGTGGTGGATAATGGTAACAAGAAATTTAGATGCGCAACAGATGGGCAGGAGAAAGGACAAGGGGGTGGACATCACAACTCCCATTCACTCACAGGCACCACAGGGCTCCTCTGCATCCTTGCAGGATGGTCACTGACCTCACTGGGCTTTGGATCAAACAGATTTGCAAGTCGTTGTCTGATCCTTCACTGAAACCCGTGGTAAAATAACGAGATTAAATAACAAGGCAATATATTTCTGAGTGGTGAAAATCTTATAGTACTCTTTATTTATCTTAATCTAAAAATACAGAAGATGGGAACAAACAAACAACTGACAAGAAATACAGCCCCAGCTTAACTTTTGATTACTGGAAGAAAAACTCAGTTTCATCATATGAATGTTCTGTTGTCCTGAAGTATGAACAGTTTCACTGGCTTTGTAAATACACTCAGCAAATGTGGCAATAATCGTGCTGTTGTAAGAGCAGGGCAACAACATTGCTGAATCCCTTTGAGCCATGTTGATGATTGTGAGCAGATGTGCTAAAAGATACATTTTTTTCTCTGTGAAAGATGAGGGGGACCTTCCATCTTAGAATTTTGCATTTGAAGAGAGAAAAATTATCCAGATATCAAACAGCTTTCATTTTTCTACACAAAGGAGGAGGGAATTGCAAACCAAAGAGAGATTTATACATGCAATACTGTTAACTTAAATTAGCATCATTTTTTAAAGCCACATTTTTTCCCAAAGCCAGACATTGCTTCTGCAGCTTGTCCAGTCGCTTTTTCTACTCCATCTTGTGCCATCTTGGCAGCCTTGTCAATAGCTGCAAGAGAGGGAAAAAGAGAAGCAGGAAGTTGGGAAAATGCAACGTTGTTTAATATTTAGGATGGAAGAGAGGTGCGAAGATGATTAGACTACAGAAATGTAGAGATACATCTTTAAAAAAGATTTTGGCAATTTTGCTGCCTTCCCACCTAATGTCACCAAGTGCCCAAGCCCACCCTTCTCATCACACCCATGGGGCCGTAGAGGGTGTCAGCTCTAAGGAGATACTGCCAATGCATTTTAGTTTCATCAAGCATTTTAGACCCTGAAATCGATAAGCCTCCCCTCATTCTTAGAAAGTTATTAAATTGTTTAAAAAAAAAGAAAATTGAGCTTAGTTTTTAGTTTGACTTGTTCCCCATCCCCAGCAACAAGATGCTAACATTTTCCTGACGGCACCTTTCCAGCTGCAGGATCAGCTTGGATCAACCCCAGCTGCTGCCTCAGCAGGTGTTGGCTGGACCTGGATGGAGCCCTGCACTCGGGGCTGAGAGGGGGGTGGGAGCAAGATGTGACACAGGGCTACCTAATGCTCAAGAAAGAAGAGCAAAGTTTTGTTCATGTTGCTCCCATAAGTTTTCTAAAGAGGAAGCCAATGTCTGAACGCTGTGCAGGAGACTCAGTGTCCAGGGAGCGTCAGCTACTGCCTGCCAGTACCTGTGGATGTACTAAGCAACAGATCCTGAAATCCTTCCCCATGAGATTTTTAAAAGCCCCAAATTGTCACTGAAACCAAGGCCTTTCAGGCTGAGAACACCTGTGGGGCAGTGGAGAATGAGCACTGCCCACTGCCACCTTGTGTTGAGCTGCTCCGTCACTTCTTGATTTGATGATTGCTCCTACCTTTCTGGCTTGCATCTGTAATCTGGTTGACTGAATCCTGAGTGGCCTGTCCCAGGCTGTTTGCTGTAATTAAGGTAAAAAAAAAATAAAATAATTTCCAGCTGTTCCCCTTTATGGTTACAGGAATTCCCAATGTCAGTTCCCTTTTCTGCACGCCCACAGCAGGCTATGCCCCTGGGTAGTGACCAGCCTGGTACAGAGCAGGCTGAGGCTGTGCCCTTTGTCTATGGGCACCCTGGGAACTGTGTGTTGCCAGAGCAGCTTGCTATGATATTAGTGTTCACCTAGCACCTATGGTCAGCTGAGCAAACCAATGACAGATAAGCAGGAGATAAAGAAGCAAAGATTAGCGGTGAGTTGGAATGATGACATTTAGCTGCAAGCTGCTTATTTTACACTACACTTGCTTTTACTGATTTCTAGCTTATTGTGCTTGGGGAAGGTTGGCCATGTAGCATGCATTTTCTCTGTGGGCCATTTGGGAATAGGGCCTCTTCCAAAATGGAAGCAACTGCATTAAACAAGAGCAAGACAGGAGAAGGGAGATTTTATAAACAAGATATAAATGGAAGAAGAAGAGGAGAAAAAGCTAGAAACATAACAGATCAACTCCAGAATATAAAGCATTAAAAAACTGAGATGAAGTTGTAAGATATCTGATAGTTTATGAAAGAGCGAGGTGCCCTCTCAGTGGCATGAATATATTCATACCATAGCAAATGGCAAAGACTATTTTATTCTTCAGAAAGGAATACTATCATGTTTGTGGATCTACGGTACACTTGTCCCCAGATATATGGAAACTTGCTATAACTTTGAAGAAGCTAGTAAGGTTTCTCACATATTTCAGCTATACAACACAGTGTTTGCAGGATGAGAGTCCAGGACCATACCTGATAAAGTTACACACTGCTAGGAATATGCTGCACACAAATACTGTAGGAAATACACTATAAAATGCTGGAGTAAGCTATACACATTTTTCAATCTTTCATTTAAAGGACAGGCTATTATGCTTTGCATTGAAAAGTTGATTTCCAGTGCACAGCACTAATGATAAAAACTTGGCCCTACGACATGGGCATAACTATTACAGAAATGTTCATCTGGGGTTTTTTAAACCCTGCACAGCCTGGTGATTACTGCTGAAGAACACAACAAAAACATACTTGTACTACATATTACTAACTGTGCATTGCAATCAGTGTAGTTATTACCAGAAGGCACTGACAGGCCAAGTGGCAAACATTAATCAAAAGTTAACTGCAACTTATTAAAAGGAGAGCAGGTTAAAAACCACTACAGACCATGAGAAAAGACCACCCTGCGTAATGCAAAAGCTAAATACAGAAGGTAGTTATTACCAAAAGCTGCTTCACTGCCCTAAAAACATTAATGTTTTGAGGAGTGATAGATGTTGGACAATGCTCAGCAGCCACAGAGGGAGCAGTGGGTGGGCAGGTGGAAGCAGCCGCCCACAGCAATTGGAGAGCCATGGCCAGCCTGGGCTCTTCCCTAGGTGATGGCCAAGACTTGCTTCCCGAGAAGGGAAGGAAAAAGAGGAAGCTGTGTCCTGCTAGCATTGATGCAGCTAATAGTGTCACTTCAGATTGTGGGTTTTCTGAGCGAAAGTAGCAACTAAACCCCCATCCAAATAATATTTTATCTTTCTTACCAGCATCTTTTGCTGCAGATTCAGCCTGTTCCTTCAGTCCCTGAAAGCTTCTTCCCGACATTATGGCTTGTGACGCCTGTTAAAAGTCCTCTGCTTTGATAAAACTAAGCACCTGGTGATGTATAGCACACTATGTGATAGTGTCCTGTCTTGTCCTGGCTTTTATACATCTGCCACGAGACCTGCTGATTCTTTTGGGGGTGATTGGTACAATGGGTGGAGTTCAAATGTGAGGAATGAGAGCTGAAAATAGAGAAAAGTTGTTTATTTACCCTCCCTGATGAGAGGGTGTGTCCAGATAGAGACTTCTGCTTCATAGCACTGTCTTTGTTTGTTAATTTGTTTGGGGTGTTTTTTTTAATCAAAACTGAAAAAAACCTGCTCCACCATCACAAGACAGAGAAAAGCCACTGAACTGAGCTTTATAAAGAATGCTGAAATACTACTGAAGTGGTAGTGCCTGGGCATGGCCAACTTTTGTCCCTGCCAGGCTGATTTCCTTCTTTTTCCTTCCTGAGAAGAACCTCATGAGAACAGAAACCAGCCCAAACTTGTTGTAGTTTCTAGCAGTTTTAATCATAATCCCCTTTTCTTGTCAGGTGGGATACTCTTAGATGGTGAGGGTTGTCACTTTTGTGTACTTTGATAAGGAAATGATAATCTGGTCATCTTTCCAGTTGGCTACTCAAGGTGGATTGCAAATCCCACCATCACTGAAGGCCTTGCCTGGGTGAGGCAGGTAACCAGTGCCAGCACCAGCAGTTCTCAGGGGAAGGGAAAAAAAAAGAAGCCAAATTAGCAAACCCACCTTTTCCTAATATGGCTTTGTGGTACTGACTTTGTTAGTACAGAAATTATGCTTAAAATCACTTCCTTTCCTAGCATCACCACATGAATAAAAGTTTCTGGCTTTAACCTCTGGCATTTCCCAGGTTTCCTCTAGCTTTTGGAATTAATATTTCCTGCCATCAATCCCCAGTACAAAGGTGCTTTGTACAAGTGAACTATTGGCAGAGTTGGGAGCCAAATGGCTCGCTGGTTTTGAGGGGTTTGGGTTCCTCGTTGCCATTTTCCGGCGTACAAAGTGTCTCTGTTCAGATGGCCACATATTTGTCTTCCTGAGTAAAGATTTGTGTTGGGAAATAGGCATGAGAACAAGATGCCATGGATAAACCAGTGTGGGCACTGACAGTTCTCATAAGTTTAGTACTTCATTAGTACCCAAGTGAGGAAGAGTGGCAGAAAACAAGGTTCCCTGCATTCCTCTGCCGCTCCTGTTCCGCCTGTCATTTCAGAGAGCTCCTCTCAACTTTTGCACCACTCCTTTGTTATTTCAAACAGCAATCCTCTTTCCCCCTCGACGGGTCAATTAGAATTCTAATTATATATGCACATCAGGTATCTTTTTCAATTCCTTGCTGATTTCATTTTTGGAATGATTTCCTTACTTGGATTTTCAAAAACTCAGATAAAAGACACCCAGTACTGTGGGGCTCTGGCATTTTTTTAACAAAGCCACTAACATGGACCTACTTACCTTTCTTACCCAAAGCTGAGAAGGCAGCCACAGCACAGCCCACACCAAATGGGAGGATTTCAGCTGTTCTCAGCCCCTCTGTCAGGTCACTGCTGCCTTGAGTTACTCTGTGTGGAGTGTTAGCAAAGGAAGGAGGAGGCTCTCTGATATCCATCAGGCAGCTTGTCACAGCTCAAGAGAGGACATGCCCGGGCTCCAGCAGCAAATACCTTCCAGCTGCCCTCCCAGCTCTTTTCCGAACTGCTGGATTTTCAGTGCAAGGGCCCCGCAGGTGCTGGCTGGGGTGGACTGCCTGAAAGGGACAACAGGAGTTTGGGAGAACATTTACAGCTGGTGTATGTTTACATCAAGTGTTAAACATGCACCACATTATAGCAATATTTTAAAGACTCCTAACGAGTTCAGGTAAATATTGCTCTCCAGTTCTCCTCTGACACCTACCTAGATTTCCCCAGCTCCAACAACTATTCTTCCAAGTGGAAATCTCAGCGTTTCGGACTCAATATGGATGTTTGATCTGTGTTGCTGCCTGCTTTATGTCCTGCTCAAAACATTAGGAAGCACGAATTTCTGAGTAAAACCTACACTGCTGACAGCATAGCAGAATGAACTCCTTATCTAAGGTAATGTTAGCATTCCAAACACTGATTCCAAACACTAAAAAGGGAAAAGAAAGCAAATTACTCTTGCCTGCTAAACTGACATGGCGTGATCATTATAATGCAGCCCAGAGCAGAGGGAAGAGGGACCTTTGGTACAGTAAGTACTTATTTCCATATGATGGGACAAATTGTCTGTGCATCAGGTGGCTTGCAGAGTTACAAAACCACAATATAAAATTAATGGAATATATTGCATAATATTTATTCACTCTGTGAGTTAGCATTACTTGCCTAAAAATAATGATAACCCCTTTGAACTGATGTCAGATATAGATTAGAGTGCTCAGATACAAACAGGTTCATTGGGCACTGGAAATAGTGGGTAACTTCGAACATGCAGTCCAAGTATCTCTGAGTTGAATCTAAGGCACCACAGGGAAATTAGAAATTGTTCTGGTTTCCTTTCACACATCTTCTGTGGCATCTTTGAGCACCACCCTCTCATACATCAGTAACATGAACCCTTCTCTTTTACTACCTGATGAAGGTGAGAAGTAATTGATCAGAGCTAGAGCTTATGTTTTACACATGAAAATAGGCAAATGAGGTTAATTAATGAGAAGTGTTGCCATTTATTTGGGTTCTCTTAAATTTTAATTTTACCAGGGTTGGGATTTACAGACAGGTATGGTTTCCATCAGCAAGGCAAATGCAACCATGTGTCAGGGCTGAAAGTTTTACACAGATCACTCCAGAAGTTAACAAAGTGTGCCGTGTTCAGCACCTGCAGCTGTGAAAAGAGACTGACGTTAGTGTGGAAGGGATGTGGTGTTTATGTCAATGAAACAGAATTGTTTTGAGAAATAGAATGGTTTGCTCATAGAAAGATATAATTATTGTAAGTCATATGTTAGTCATTTAAAGGATCAAACTAAAGTTGCTCTAATTAAGCTAAATTTGCCTTTCAGTGCAGATACTGATATACAGTTCTGGGAGAAAAGTGGTCTAATTTATTCTTCCTTTAAACATCCTCCAGGAATCATTAGTCAGCTCTGCTTCAAAACACGAGATCAACGTAAGGGCAGTGCACATGGAGTTCTTCACCTTCTGGTTTCTCAATCTTGAGGCAGCATCCAGGTGAAGTGTCATGTTTCTACCTTCTTCTGGAGCACCTGAAACCATGCTTAAATACAGGGATTGTTGTGGAGTCTCATGACATCCCACAGCTTCAGGACTAGGAAAGACAAAAAAAATTGTCTGGTCTTTAACTTAAAAGGGGAAAAGCGAGAAAGGCTTGACTACCACCCTAAGATCTGGCATGGGACTGGGGAATTAAATAACTGGTCCTATCCCAGGAGTGGCTGGCTAGGAAAGCTGAGGATGCAAGCTGGGATGTAAAGTCTACAGGAGAGCTGTGCATATTTCTCTAGGCACACTGAGATGAAGGAGCCCTGTGGCTCTGCCCTTCTGGCACACGGCTGTGCTGCTCACCCCACCTGGGCCCAGGGGGAGAGGAAAAGTGGAGAAGCAGAGCTGCCAAGCTTGCCCGGCTCCCATGCTGGGATCCACACAAAAAAAGCAGTGCCAAAGACTGACAGAGAAACTTTGCACTGCTGCAAACTCATCTGGGCAGGGGTTTGTCTGATATTCAGAAAGCTCAGTTTTAATCGGAGCTTTTTCTGATGTGCTATTAACAGTATGGAGTATCTTCTTGTGATTGGGTAGGGTTTCGATGCTTTTATGAGACAGTGAAGCTGTGTTTCAATATAGAAAAGAAGTGCCAAAGAGGTGAGAACGTGTGATTTTTATAGAGAACAGTATTAAAAAAACAGCCCTTCAATTTGTTAATCAGGTGCTCTTTGAGTTCAGTTTTAGGACACGCATTATGCAGACACGAAAACAGGACTTTCAGATAAAGTGGGGTTTTAAGTGTATTATTACCTGATTTGCATTTAAATTAGTGGAACGCTGTTCAGGATATTCTATAGAGAGCCACTGCTTCCTCTTCTGCATCCCAGACAGACACCTTTGAGAACTCAGGCCCTGCAACGCCCTTCAGCCCTCGGCTAGAATGTAACTGGGGGGGGAGCTCTCAGAGGCTATGAACTCTATCAGAACAAATCACTTAATAAAGCTTAACTGCAGTTTTACATGGTAAGTAAGTTTTGCTGTTACAAGGGGAAAAAAAAGTGGTTTTCAGCACTTTGTTGGTCACTCGTATGGTGAAGTTGACGCAACACTTGGCAGGGACTGTTCCTGGCTCGTTGGATCACCACAGAGGTCGGAGTGTGAGCACCCAGAGTCACGTCACTGGGGACAGACTGTGGCCCCACCGTGCCTGGCACCAAGAGCTGTCTGGGCACAGTGGGATTAAGTCAACAGCTTGTGTGAAAGCCGAGTCACATGCACAAAGTCCACTTAAATAATTCACAGGGTGAGATGAGTAAGAGAAACTCTTGATTGCCTAGATCATGATCTGTCAGCAAAAAATTATTTTGCTAGTATCTGCCTCCCTCAGCTTTTATCTGGGGCAGAGGGATTCCCAGCACTTCCTCAGTGAAAGCAGCTTCTCCTGTGGGATGTTTTCTGATGCATCTCCTCCATTCTTTCACCTTTCACTTTCTTTCCATCACCTCTCATTACATTTGCTGGAATATTCCTTAAAAGCAGACTTCTTTTCCATGCAGCCAACCAAACAGACATACAGCAAAGTTTAGTTGAATAATTAATAGATAATCTTTTGCCTCTTTTATCACAGACCCTTCTGCCTCCGAACAAACAAGTGTTCACCTTTGTTTCACCTCTGACAAAGGTGGCTCGGACTGGTACATCTGCTCCCCCTGGCTGGGTGACAGCTGGTCTGGGGAAGGGAAGGAAACAGAGGCTCACTGAGCCATTGCATGGGCACAGCACTACCCTGTTCCCACTCACTGTTGCAGGGTACTCGTGGGAGGAAACTGCATGTCCTGGTCTCTGTCTTCAAGACTT